GATATGGCTGTCTGTTCACTTGTTTACAGACATGTGCAGTTCACCAGGAGATAGCAGCTACTCTTGATACAGACTCATTCATAATGGCCCTAATTATGTTTGTGGGGCGCCGAGGAACACCGGTAGAGGTATATAGTGATGATGGAACTAACTTCGTGGGTGCGGTGTCAGAGCTTAGAGGACGAATGAAACAATGGGAAGATAGAAAGATAAATGATCGTTTGTTGCGCCATGGGATTCAATGGCATTTCAACCCTCCGTACTGTAGTCATTGAGGTGGCGTGTGGGAAAGAATTATACGCTCCGTTTGACAATTGCTTATGGCTGTGACTACTAAACAAAGACTGACGGACGAAACATAGAATACATATTTCATCGAAGTCGAGAGAATCCTGAACAGTCGTCCTATCGTGCCGATAGCCTCTAGGGAAAGTGAAGACACAGCGCTGAAACCCAACAGCTTGCTACTGCTGCGAGATGGTGAAGGACTGTCTAATGGAGAAAACTTTCAGGTCCGATATTCGAGGAGGTGGAGGCAGATAAATTACATGGCTAATGCGTTTTGGAGCCGATGGTTAACAGAGTACTTGCCGATATTAAAATCTCGTCAAAAGTGGCCTAACTGGTGTCGGAATGTTCAAAAGGGAGACGTGGTGCTCGTATCTACACATTGTCCAGGACGTGGAAAGTGGCCAGTGGGTATTGTGGAGAGCTGCGAAGTGGGTAGGGATGGATTAATCCGTAATATGACTGTGCGCATGAAATCTTGCACTCTTCGACGCGACATCCGCAAGATACGTCTACTAGAGGGTGCCAACTAGCCCCGGGGGAAGACTAGAAGGTATGTAGGCGTACTGCTGTAAGTCCTGTTAGCTCCAGTCTTTCGAGGGTTAAGTTCATAGCGGAGAGCCATGACTGATTAAGTGAAACAGGGACTCGATTGAACATGAAGGGATTTTGGCGGGCGGTGCAGAAACAACAGAGTGAAGAAAATCCCTCTTCTCGGTCCGAGGCCTGACCACTGTTGTTCCCCCTCCCAATTACCCTCTTTTCGATCCTGTGTGAACACGTTCTCTTTTGTCACTCTTGATTTGACCTTGATCACCGCGTGATCCCTCGTGTTAGTCACTGTCTATGGTTGTGTGATGTCGGATTCTCGTGTCCAATGACCTTGTGTGTCTACCTATCGATCCCACCCGTGTCATTGTCCTGTGCACTAATGTGGCTTTGGTGTGTCATTGCCCCGGTCCATAACCGTCCCCAGTCCTCATATGCCTCGTCACTGGCCCTATGGTGTCATTCGTTGTCTTGCTCTTTGCGAGCGCATACCTGACTTCGATCACTGGCTGTTCACGATTGGTGAACAGAATTTCTCCCCGTGGCAAACAGATCATTGTCGATCAGTTTGAATTTATCTTGGCTGTTCATGTTAAGTGAACAGAATACTTTGCTTGACCTAACAGGTATTTACGTTCCCTCTTTGTATATTTATTTCCTTGTCTTGATATTAGGTCTCTACCAATTTAATTGAGCTCACCTTTTTGGCTGTATAGCAACTGAGTCGCATTGTTGAGGTACGTCGTTCTTTGACTCGCCTAATGAAGTAAACAGTACCGAACGTATTGCGGATCATTATCGTTCTGACTTCGGGGTTCGCGTTTCGCTACGCGTTGCTCAACGGTCTCATTGACACGATACAGAGCGATCGTAGAATAGTCGATTACACTCGGGCTACGGTCGAGCCAGAACAAGTCGCTTTGGAAATTACATAGATCATGTCTCACTAAGTTTCTGTGCTTCCTGGATGAAGTCACAGCGAAGCTAGATGAGGGCCGTTGAGGTTTGCTACCTGGATTTTAGCAAAGCTTTCGACTCTGTGAACCGCAGATTGCTCCTTCACAAAAGCAAAACCTTTGGGCTAAGAGGATATCTGCATAGGTGGTTATTCGTTTTTCTCCCAGTGAGGTTATAGGAGGCCAGTTCCCAGGTCATTAGATTGACCAGTGGAGTGCCTCAAGGTTCGGTTCTCGGACTGCTACACTTCCGCTTATTCTTCAACGACTTCGTGGGGTTAACCAACTGTGGTGATTCGAATCTACGAGATTCCGCCGGCCCTGGAGCAGCGCGGTACAATTTCCGGACATTGGTAGTCAATCCACCTTGAGCGCTGACGCCAGTAGCACGTGCACAGCCTCCGGATATACGTCACTGATGGACCGTTCCAGCCAATCAGATACAATGCAGAAAAGAGCAGTATGACGCAAGATGTGGTGCAATATGATTGGTGGAAACTAAGCTAACCAATGATCTTCTTTTGTGCACATATATATTCACTTTCATTTCCTTCAATAAACGACTTTGTGATCCGTCTGTTTTGTGGCCTTTTTTCTCGCGTCTCGATCCTGCGGGTTATTGCGAGTTCGAGCCATTGCGGTCTAGTGCCACCGGATTTCTAATTCGTATTCCGTGATTCCTATTGCGTAGTTCGTGGCCTGAATTCTGTGCGTAATTCCACTACTACTACTTTTACGATCACCAGAAATTGGCGTCGCTCAATGGAGCTTCCAAGTATTGAACATTTGAACCTGAAAGCCAGTCCATCCAAGATCGAGGAATGGGTAGAGCGATTCGAGCTGTGGTGCAGTATTCGAAAAGGTGGTGTGCAAAAGCAATCGGCTCTATTTCTCAATGCTGGCGGCCGTGATCTGTATTTGCTGCTAGAAATCCTGACATTTCCCGAGGTTCCCGCTAAACTACTATACGAGTCCTTGAAATCGCTCCTGCTCAACCACCTGCTGCCTACTGAATTCCAAGCCCACGAACGTGCTAAATTCAATTCCATGATCCGTGCTTACCACATGTCTTGCCGTAATTTCATCCTGCAGCTAAACAGACAGGCATCACGCTGCAACTACGGCGATCGTTTGGAAGAACAGATGTGTGACCGTTTGGTAGCGGGCATCAACAATTTCAGTCTGCGAAGCAAGTTACTGGGGAAGAAGGATTTAACTTTTCCCGAAGCCCGGAAAATTTATGAACAGCATGATGACTTGATGAAAGCCACTTCCAGCGAAGCAGTCACATTATTCCAACGGCAGAAGAATCCACCGAATCGACCTCCAACGGTCAAACGTGCACCAAAGCCGCAGAAAATTTCCCCAGGTAATGAAAAACGAATCAATCTATGTTTGTCTTGTGGATCTCACTACCTAAGCACCAATTGCCTCATAGTTCGTTGCTCGGACCGTTACTCTTTCTCTTATTCATCAACGACTTGGCGGGGTTTAACAAACTCACCTTGTTTTGTCTTCGCGGATGATGTGAAGGTAGTGGGATCGAGTGGCAGAGCTTACCTAGTGAGCGATATTGAACGGGTGGTTGAGTGGTCAAATAAGTGGAACTTGGCACTGAATGCGGCCAAGTGTCAACTATTGACCAAGCAAACAGATCCCTTAGTTGCTGCCGGAATGTGGGGAACTTTCGAAGTCAAGAGACTAGCTACAAGAATGGTAGAGGGAGAGAGGGGTAAATCGTACCAGGAAAGACTGAGGGGCCTCGATCTATTTTCGCCAGAAAGAAGGCGAATCGGAGGAGACCTCATAGAAGCGTTCAAACTTAGAAGGGGTTCCCCTGGGATTCCCCCTGAGGAACTCTTCACTGATGCCCCGTATGCTGGTACCAAGGGCCACGAGCACAAACTGATGAAGAAAAGGAGTAGGTTAGGTGTGAGGTCCAACTACTTCTGCAATAGAATAGTAAATAGGTGGAATAGACTACCCGAGGAAGAAGTCTACCTGCTTAGTATCCAAGCCTTCAAACTGGCTTTGGATAAGGGGTGGTTCAAACTGTTTCCGAACGAGGAATACTGAACGGAATGCGACCGTTAGGTTCATAACTATTTTCTATGCCATATAAAACGCATTCACATTAAAAGGCTCTAGCCGACACGGCGAGAAGTAAGGTTTCTCTTTCTCTCTGTTTGCAGATAGGCGAAGAAACCGATCAATTGAAGAGGTGGATGCACACTCGTGGGCACACGACCGAAGGAATTCTGGACTCTTGATTGGCCTGTGGCCACTATCAGTCCTGTGCAACCTGACCTGACCTGACTGACTGACTGACTGACTGACTGACTGACTGATCTAACCTTGCGTTACTTTAGCGCGTGGTTTGAATTTCCATTGTGCTCTATCTCGTTCACACTTTTTGTCTGGTACTAGTGAAATATCAGTAGACATTTCACGCGAATAACTCTTGAAGTAATTTTACGTTCACCAGTGTCGTTCGTGATCTGCCAGGGATCACAACCCTTTTACTAGGCAATTTTCTGCGTACACTTTGTTGGTTCGCAGGCCTAAAGCATTTAAATTTCTAAATTTTTGAGTTTAGTAAAGCGTATTTCTCACGTTTTTGGTATCACCTGTGTCTATTCCATAGCTAGAGGACTGTGTATTTAGACATTTCTTGCTTAACGTGGAATGGCACAATCGAAAGGTTCCAACGCGTGTGGGGCGAAATGTTGTACAGAGTATATCGCCGAGGGGATTCAGTGCGACGGCTGCGGAGTGTGGTACCACCAGCACTGTTCTCAAATGAGCAAAAATGAGTATCAGCTGCACATGGAGCACAAATCCTTTAAGTGGGTGTGCAAACACTGCGCAACGCTAGCCGAGGAGTTCAGGAGAATCCTGAAGGCGTCACTGGCTCTGAATAAGGATAACAAAGAGAAAACGGAAGGGACTACTTTTGCGTCATCCCTAAATAAAAGTGCAGAAATCAGAAAAGCAGGAAACCGAAAAAAGGAAGGTGGAAAACAGACTATGAGGCCTTTACAGGCTAATATGTCTGTGATTAAACCTGAGAGACAGCCGAACTACCGGGAAATGGTACAACGAATCGAGCAGTTAGAGAGAAAACTTTAGCTGCTGAAAAAGGGTAGCGAAGTATCGCTGGGAAGAACTAGGAACTTGCTCCTGCATAATTGCGCGGAGCCAGTTATTAACATGGCGAAGCCGAGGCGAGAAGCTAAGCATCGCCATGTGCGAAATATATTTAGGCTGGCAGGGTTGCAACCCAACACCCCGTTCATCAAGTGCCACAGAATTGGCCTGTGGAAAGGGGAAAGTGCACGTGGTCCAAGGCCTCTCTTAGTGGTGTTTCCAAACACTAACATAAAAGATCTGCTACTATCACGAGCGTCAAGGATCGAGGATATTACTCAGGGGCGTATAATAATCACCCCTGATAGACCGATCATGGTGATACACCCAGTTAGAAGGGGGAATAATTCAAGCGTCCACCAAACCAAAGACGTAGTTCATTGCGTACCAAGGACTGGAGAGCCTTTGAGCGGATCCACACCGAAGGTACCAAAGAATGTACGGCATGTAGGAAAGGGCACACAAAAGAGGGCTAAAGAGGGCAATGCCGCGGTCCGCAAAGTGAGGTCAAACTCGCCACGATCACAGGACAGAGCACCGCAACCAAAGAACTGGGTTTCATCTACTAGTCCGGAGAAGGAAACTACGGTAAGCTGTGAGGAAACAGCCACATGGGCGACAATAGTAGCGAAATCCCTGATAGCAGCTCAGTCTCCAGCTCTCCAAATACAACGCAGACTGAATACTCCAAAATTGAAGGAGGATGTAGAGGAGCCTTTTGGAATGACGATAAAAGTCATTTCCAGGGAGAAAAGTGGAATGGCTTGGGAAGTAGAAGAAGCCACGACCACATCCGTAATCCCCCCCCCCAAAAAAACGGGGTAACCCCTCGAGCATTATGCTCGAGGATCCTGCAGAAATGAGCTCCCGACCCAGAAGGCAGGCGCAAGCAGACACAGTCACACTGTGGTACACCAATGCTTGCAGTATATGGGATAAGCGGGGAGAGGTGCGACGGCGCACCCCAGGCATAGACATAGTGGCCATAACGGAATCCTGGATGCAGAAGCACCGTATCACCCCGGGGATGGAAGACTACACGATTTATAGGCAAGATAGGGTGGATGGTAGGCAAGGGGGCGGGGTTATAATAATGATTAAATCAGATCACACTCAGTGGGAGGCAGTAGCAGCCCTAGCGACTCCCAACGTACAAGCCATCAGTTGCGTAGTTAAAATAGACAGTAACGCATTAGCCATCATGTGCGTCTACCGGGCTCCGCAGGGAACTGAGACAGAAGACCAGGAATTGATTGCTCATCTGCAATTATTCCTTGCCACGTCCAGAAGGGTGTTGTTAGTAGGTAACTTCAACATGCCCGAGATCAACTGGAGTAGAGGCAGAGCACCAGCAGGTACTGGGGGTGGACTGCTTTTAGAGTGGTTACATCAGCACGCATCAACACAACACATGTGTCAAGCCACCCGTTTTAGAGCAAATGACAGGCGCCATACTGGATCTGGTGATCACCAGAACCCCTGGATACATAAGGACAATAATCCAGGAGGAGCCTCTAGGAGAAAGTGATCATGTGGTTCTGCGACTAACGCTAGAAAGCAGACCAACGGCCAAACTAGGGAGGCGATATGGTAGAATCAACCAATAAGAATTGGCCAGAGCGGCGCAGGATGTAAACTGGGTACCCAACCCAGGTGATGAGTCTCTGGGAACTAGATGGAGCCATATAAAGACAGGACTTCTCCTACTTAAGGATAGGTTTGCGCCTTTGGTTCCGTTAGGAAAGAAGCAACGGCTTCCCTCGTGGAAAGCAAATATAGATAGGGCTATAACCATTCGTAGAAGATGGTGGGCGGTCTATAAACAGTATGGCACCCATCAGCCGTGGAATGGTTACAGATAAGCACGCAACTATGCACAGAAAGAGCAAAGAGAGGCTAAATACCAATTTGAGAGAAACTTGGCGCAAAAAATCAAGCGGAATCCTAGGTGATTTTACGCGTATGTTCAACCTAAGCGCAACACTCGGGAAACGGATGGTACTCTGGAATCGTCGACCGGGGTGTTAGCAGTGAGTGAAGGGGATAGAGCACGCATCCTGTTACGGTTCTTCAAAAGCACGTACAGGATCCCCAGGGTAACAAATAACCTTCCATCAATCGAAGGTAACTGCACGATGCCCCCAATCATTGTGTAAATTCAGGATGTACAGCGGGAGTTAGCAGGGTTAAGTCGGCTCAATACGGCGGGGCGTGACAGTTTTCACCCAGCGATTGTACAACTGCGGGTGACGTCATGGTAGAACCGATCTTTGAGTTATTTTAAGAGTCGCTTAGACTGGGAACTGTCCCGAACGACTGGTGCAAAGCCACAGTAGTGGCAATACACTAGTCTGGATCCCGGCAAAAAGCCGAGAATTACAGACCCGTAAGTTTGACAGCAGTAATATGTAAGTGTTTAGAGCGCCTACATAGAA